TAACATGTATTATTTGTTTCAGAGGTACAGATCTGTGATTCAACAGTCTTGCACAGTTCACAGCGCTCACCATAGCACATACCCTCCCCAATGTCTATCACCCAGCCACCCAACCCTCCCACCCCTCACCACTGGAGTAGCAGCTTCTTGATCAGCCCTAATATCAGCATCCTCCTCCTCCATTCAGATAGATAGGCTGCTTCTTTCTTGTTTCTGAGGGTGGTTATTTAATGGAACCATAGGTTCCTCTCCATTTTCTTAGAAATATTAATGAGCAGACAAAAGAGAAGGTGTGAAGTTAGACCAAGCTTGGTAAATAAAATAAGAGTATGGACTTAATAATATGCCATTCTCCTAGAGGAACTTTTACAAATAGAGTGTACTTTGTGTGCTGAACCAGGACAATGGGTACAGAAGAGAACATTTTTTTAACCTCAAGAAGAAAATTTTATCCCACTTGATATCCATAGATAAGAGATTAAGAAGTGTCACTTGCCAGAAAACTGAAAAGGACTTATCTGTGCCACCCTTATCAAATTCGTATACATGAGAATTGCTTATGATTTTTAAATATAACACCAAAGGCACATTCTATGAAAGAAATAATTGATAAGGTTTATTTCATTAAAATTGAAAAATTTCTGCTTTGCAAAAGACAGTGTCAAGAGAATGAGAAGACAAGGCACAGACTGGGAGAATATATTTGCAAAAGACATATCTGATCAAGGACTGTTACCCAAAACATACAAAGAACTCTTAAAACTCAACAATAAAAACAGAAATAATCCAATTAAAAGTGGACCAAATGGTATAGTCACTTTGCAAGATAGTTTGGCAGTTTCTTATAGAACTAAACATTCTCATATTATTTGATCCAGCAGCTGTGCTCCTCAGGAATTGAAAACTCATTTCCACACAAAAATTTGCAAAAAGATGTTTATAGCAGATTTATTCACAATTGCCAAATCTTGGAAGCAACCAAAATATCCTTTAGTAAGTGAATGGGTAAATAAATAAGCTGTGGTATATCCAGACAATGGAATATTATTCAGCACTAAAAAGAAATGAGCTATTAAGCTATGAAAAGACATGGAGAAACCTTAAATGCATATTAATAAGTGGACAAAGCAGGTCTCAAAAGGCTGAATAATACATGATTCCAACTATATGACAGTCTGGAAAAAGACAAGACTTTGGAGACTATAGAAAGATCAGGGGTTGGTGAGGGGCATGGAGGGATGAATAGGCATAACACATAGGGCTTTCAGGTCAGTGAAAAAAAGATCTGTATGATACTATAATAATAGATGTTTATCATCATGCATTTGTCTAACCCCTAGAATGTACAACACAGAGTGAACCCTAAGGTAAACTGTGGACTTGAGTAATTATGATGCGTCAGTATAGGTTCACTGATTGTAAAACACACCACTTGGTGGAGAATGTTGATAATGAGGGAGGCCATGTTTGTGTGGGAGCAGAGGGAATGTGGGAAATCTCTGTACCTTCTGCTCAGTTTTGCTGTGAATCTAAAATTGCTTTTAAAAAGCTTTTAAAATTTCCTTAATGAAGTAGCCCAGGGTAATTTATGCACACCTCCACCTCCATCCTCATCACTAAGTAAGAATAACTTGAATTCAGAAAGAGAAAATATGAATGAGTAGTGGGGAACTCTGACTGTTATAATTCCCTTGCCCTACTTTTACAAGGAAACAGCTGTAGACTTTCAAATATATTGGGGGGAGGTGGGAGGTTTGCCATCACTTAGTAAAAGAAACAGCTAACAGCTAAAAATCTTTATTTTAATCTTAAAGAATTCTTTATTTCAATCTTTATGACAGAAATGTATTACCAAGCCTTTTTGAAGTTAGACGTGGCCATGTGACTTGTTTCGGCCAGTGATGTATAAGTGGGTGACATGCATCACTTCTGGGTATGAGGTTTTAAGAGCTGGTGTGTCTATTCACTCTCATCTCTTTCCTGTGCTCTGACAACTGGTGACAATCCACAAGATGGAGGTTTCATCACTCTGAGGTTCTGCATAATGATGATATGAAACAGAGCCCAGGGCTGACTGTAATTTGAATATGTCATATGAGCAAGAGATCAACTGGTGTTGTTTTAAGTCACTAAGATTTTGAGGTTATTTTTTACTACATTGTAACCTCATATAATTGGTAAACCAAGAACTGATA